CTATCATAATTATTGATTGGACAATAATTTCTATAATTACTTTTCCATTTTGATATAACATGCTTAATCATAATGACGTCTTAATATCCTCTTAACTAGCATCTCGCTGTCATTTCCAGTGAAATAATTTCAACATATTTTTAAACTGATATATTTCACTAAAATGTATACCAATAAGCCCCCCTTCCAGTAAATAACTTCTGTTGTGACAAAAGAATCAAGCAAATAATTTTCTCATAGTTTAGAATTATATTTTAGTTCACTGTCAAAATATTCGCTTTTTTCCTCTTATAATTTTCCCCTAATATTTTTCCTCTTTTATTTTTACCTTGAAGGGACGCTTCCATTAACAGAAATGGGGTCAGGTAATCATTTCAAGGTCCTCCTCATACAAATTATGAAATATTTCAATCATGGTCTTATGAACACTCGTATAAAATGAATTAAAATGTTTTGCGTGAAACCTGTTGACAATGAATATATTTTTGTTAGAAAAATATTACTTCTCGAACATTTTGCTGTGATTGTCCAATTGGGAATCTTTCTTATTTTGAAACTTAAAAAATATTTTTAAAAATGACAGAAGATTTGGAATTAGATGGATTTACTCTTTATCTATAACGAATAGGCATCTATGGGGCGTCAGAGCCACCGCGATGAAATTATACTGAACAACATTAGGAACGCACCACCCATAACATACGAAATATCCCTGTCAGACTGAAATGTACCCATGATATCTGAGCATCGTCGGTGCATTTTAGTGTGGTGCGTTTCTAATGTTGTTCAGTATATATACTTCCTGAGACTGTGATACAAAAACAAAAATGACTTTGACCGCATATTGTGGTTAAACAACACTATATGTTTCAAATGATTGCTATTGTGACTATGCCCCCAAATGAAAGGTTCCAATGCCCCAATACACACTCTGTGTCATTTTAAGCTCTTTGACAAATACCTGTGAAATAATTTAACTAGATAGTGTGGGATAAACCTGACGCCGTTGGAGATGATCTGTCTATGCCTCATGTACGAGGCACACAGATGGATGGATGGATGGATGGATGGATGGATGGATGGATGGATGGATGAAAAATAAATAAACATTTGCGACATATCACAAGTCTTGTGTTGTCTGATCCCTGTTGGGGTGTTAAACGCCATACACGTCTATGTGGCCTAGTCCCTAGTAGTTATCATGCAATTAATTAAGACAAAAATATTTACCATGGGAATAATTTATGGGAATGTCAAGAAGTCTTATTCGGTTGGGGGAGGATGGGGTCGAATGAAACTTGACATTATTATTTAAACGGTTAACCAAGTTGGCAATTTCAACGCCTTTTGTCCAGGACACAGTTATTGGTTTGCTTCTTTGAAGCATCCTTCGAATGGCTATGGCTTTTACAAAACGTCCAGTCGTTAAAGGCGCCGCTCTAAAGAGTCGTCTCTTGGCCAAAATCTATGATTGTGAGTTCGAATCCCGGCTCGTCCTGATTAAGTGTTTTAGGTTTGTCTGCACCACGCCCTTGCTGGTCAAGACACCAACGTGATTAAAGACCTGCATCTTTTGGGTCTTCTTTGCATAGTACGTTGACAAGCCGTAAAATAACTGAAATACTGTTCGAATCGACGTTAAAACCAACTCACTCACTCACGCGTATAATCTAACGCAAACTGTTTTGAATTCCATTATTTATTCTTTATTTTTAATCCACACTTTTGCTGAATTTGCCATTACAGTCAAGGTCACTACTTTTGAAATCGACATTGAAACTATTAACCCAGGTAAACTGAGATTATATGTTCACAGATTAACTAAGTTTGTTGTTTATTTGCGGCTGAGTGCAGTGATGTTGTATAACATGAGCTCAGATTAATTCAAATATGCACTCGACGGCCTATCGTCGGAATAATTAAATTTATAGATACTTTAACAATGACTAAGTCAATAGAACCCGTTCCACGTGACGGCATGACTGACGCAAAACCACGCTCACTTACGTCAGTATTCGCGTGCCTTTCCACGTAGTCAAAGATAGAATGGACACATAAACGGAAATAGAAACATATTGATGTCAGACTGATTCTGATAAAGTAACCTACTTGAGTCATTCATGTATATGTTACAGGGAATATGTAAAACCAGGGATTTCATGTAATCCCTAAAAGAGTCAGTGATTTCGTGAAATCTCTGTGATCCTCAGGGATTTCATGTATTCACTGAAATTTCAAGGGCTATCTATATCGAGGGAACAATGTGACTACACATGAATAAACAAATGCTAGAATGTATTAACGTGAGTCATACCAGATTCTCCCCACGGACAAGAAGGATATGGGTTGGACTTGCACGTAAGTCTTTAACGTAATAATTAAGAGTTTAAATGATAATTTCTATAAAAAATATAAATATCAGACTGGGGTCCTGTATTGACCGCTTATCTAGATTTGCCTCTTTAAAGGATAGAATTACCATTACGTAACACTCAGTACAGCCATGGAGAAAGGCTAGATATGGGTTTACAATGGCTAACAGTTAAGCATAGCAGAGTTATGCAAGTCCCACAAGTGCTCCATGGGGGATACATCTGGCGACTGAACTGGCCAATGAATAATTTGGATGTGTTGCTGGGCCAGATACTGCATGGAAAGTCTTGTTGTGTGTGCCCGTGCGTTGTCCTGTTGAAAAGTATGGACATCTTGGTGGTGATTGAAGACAGATACGATGTGATTCTGAAGAATCTGCTCACGGTAATAAAGGGCATTAACTCTCCCTTGACAGACATGAAGGCAGTCCTGTGATTGTAATTTATTCCACCCCAGACCATGACACTCCCACCACCTAAAGGTCTGTCTGAACCACACACTCATCAGCATAACGTTCACCACGTCTACGCCAAACACGTAATCGGCCGTCAGCATTACGTAGATGAAGACGTGACTCGTCAATGACTACCACACCATGCCGTTGTTGTAACCTTTACTGAAAATGCCTGCTAGCCCATTGTATACGCTCATTACGGTGTCTGTCAGTCAGAATTGGTCCAACGTTAGGACGTCGAGCATGGATCCCTGTAGCGTTTAGATAGCGTCGCATGGAATCAGCGCTGATGACCCCCACGTCAACCTTGAACTAGTGCAGCAGTCCTGGCAGTCGGCAGTGTTCAATCACTGATATGGACAAGGTCAATATGGCGATCCTGATGGAGCGTCTAGTGCACATTCTCTTCCGTGAGGTGTTTACCTCTGCATCTCTGTCCTCGTTTCACAATCGTTTATGAAGCAATGAGAATCGGTTCTCATACACCCGGTTTTAATGTCACAGTCAGTATGATTTCAGAATGAAATTCGCGCTTTTTTCATGGCGTGGCTGCATGTTGATGCATTTTGGCATTAAGAGTCATACTGTGGACAGGAATTTGTTTCAAAACCATTTTTTCAACCGGACATGCCCTTCGACTTCATGTTAGTTATATCCATTGATCATTGTCATGCTGAAATTCATCTTGATGAAAATATGGACAATTTTAGACTGGTGCGTTTTCAATGATGTTCAGTATATAAACAGTCATTTTTGCAGTGTAAGTGGTGCTTAATTAATGCTCATGTCTGTGATGTCTGTGTTGTCTAGTCCAGATGTAGGTTAACACCGGTACAGTCATGTATAGATCAATACAAAACTTACTGAGTTGACATTTTCAAAAGTTCTCCCTCGGAGACGCCTAAAACTGTGATTGTGGGTTCGAACCCGATTAAGCGTTTTAGGTTTGCAGCACCATACCCACGCTGGTCACGGCACCAACATGATATCGTGAACGTCAGAGACCGGCATCTCTGGGTTTTTTTCCCATGATACTCCGACTAACCGTAATACAACTGGAACTCTGTTCGAAACGTCGTTAAGACCAACTCACACACTTACTCATGTGAAATGCAAATTGTTTGAACTTCAGTATGTATTTCACACTTTGGCTAACTTTGACACTGTTGTCAAGGTAACTACCTTTGAGATAAGCATTCAAACTAATAACCCCAGCAAAAGGAGATAATATATTCACAGATTTACCTTGGCTTAAGGTTGATTTGGAGCCAAAGACTGGTTGATAATTACAACGGGAAAACCCACAGGAGTTGGAATCACTGTTTGGACAATAACAAAATGCAATGAGAGAAGCGGGAGATTTTTCTAAAATTCCATTTCTTCACCGATTTCGTTTAAATTTGAAATATAAGTTACTCAAAACATATCAAAACAATATACGGTTGCAAAAATCTAGATTTTTATTGTTAAAAATTATTGTCCAAACAGTCCTGTGGGAAAACCTGCTAAAATTAATGGATGCTGCCACCACCTACAAAATGGGACAAGATAGATACCAGAGTCTGGAGACGAGGTGCAGTGAAAATATATCACAAGATCTAACACACTTAGTCTAGTGAAATACAGAATGATCACGCAACAAGTAGATAAAGTTCAAAAACGAGTTTATTGATTAAACTTTGAACTGAAAGGTATTGTACAAGATCTCGAGATTGCGAGACACGATGCCATCTGTCAACTGTACTGAATACATCGCTCAGTATTGTCTGTCACATCGAAACTGTAGAATTCGGCATTTGTCTGTATCCTTCCCACGATTGGTATACCTGGACTGTCAAAACAAATAAACTGTATAATAAACTTGAAAGTATATGAACTTGTAGGATCCATGTAAACAATACATTCCGGAAGTCACGTGACCCGAAATGAATGCCAAGGATGCCACATACCCATCAGCTATCAAAACGTGATGCAAGTCAGAATGAAGACTAATCCCAATCACAGTGCGCAATCAATAGATATATAGGATCGGTTCTTGAAGATCCCTGGCAGAAAAACCATTGGTTGTGACGGCATCTTTGAGGAACTTGTTATTTTGGTTTGGTATGTTGTTTTACGCCGCACTCAGCAATATTCCAGCTATATGGCGGCGGTCTGAAAATATTCGAGTCTGATCCATACAATCCAGTGATCAACAGCATGAGCATCGATCTACGTAATTGGGAGCAAATTTATAATGTAAACACTGAAGGTCGCATTGACCTGATTCCGACGGTGTGGGCGACATGACCTTGTATCCCCCAGATCGCAATGAAAAGCAGCGACTGTCAAACTTGTAAATAGACTGTAAACCGTAATCTGCCCTAAGCATAATAACCCTTTTCCAGAAAGGTATGGGACAATTAGTTCGTTTCCACAAATCCCAGTCCCTACCCGCAACTTACCAAATTGTTTGTTCCTACAACAAAATATGAATATACATCCACAATAATAACGTTTATCATTAACAACTTAAATATAACATGATGTATTTCCTGTGTGAAGCAAAAAACATGTTAAATGAAAAAAAGCCAAAATAGTCCAAATGATTTGTCCGAAAGGTCCCAAAACTGATAGTTCACACAACACTGGTACAGCAAACACATCCAAGTCTATCTCTGTGTGAAGAAACTCTGGAACATGTGTTTCACACAGGACACAAGGACAGCCGAGCACGACTGGGGCTGCTTGGATTCTTCACCAAGATCGATCTCCACAACTTGAGGACGGGCTCTGGGGGCAAGGACGGGGAAGGAGGGCAGGGTGTCGGGCAGGGAGTAGAGGGGGTTGACGGTGATCGTGAAGACACCGGGGCGCTTATAGAGAGGAAGAAGATTTTTTTGAATCAATGAAACAAGTATTTATCGATATTTCAATTAAATAGCTTGTATTAAGAAAATATGGGAAAGTCGACAATTTTAGACATTTGCACTCTGTTGTATCTGGGTATTTAAACAAAAGTAAATAAAATTATACCATCTTCCAAAACATATAAATAGAAAAGACAAAATCATTTCCAAAATTATAAGAAATCACTAATAAAACAGAGTTCACTGAATGATTCCCCTATGTTAAAAGCATGTAAAATAATGCCAGGATTTTCTTTGCTTGAAATGGGTGCTGATTTATTTGAAGCTTATCGAATATTTAATATTTTCCTGTAATAATAGTTCTGGAGTAGCCAAACAATAAGTTTACGGAATATTCTAAATAGAGTTACAAAGCATACATATGTTTAATAACTCTGGCGTTGTGAATGTTAGTCCAGCAATCGAAATTGCCATAGTGTCCATATTTCATGACAAGTGTGTATTTACAAAAGGAACAACATATTTCTGTCAATGGAATATGAGCTGTTAATTTCTTGGAAATTTGGTAGAGGTTCAGAAATGTTAGATTTGAATGTCTCTGGGTTGCATTTAACTTTCATAACACGCTACTAAAATCCATATTGTATTTTTAACTGTAAACAGTATCTGCCTCTAACTGGCTGTGGATATTTCGACATTTTGGTGTGTTATTAAAACCAACAGGACACATTCAAACAGCTTGAACCTATCCATGACCTACAGGATCAGGGACTGGGGGTGTCTGTTGGGAGACGGGGGCCGGGTAGGTCCTAAACCTGTGGAGATCGTCCAGAGCTGGAATGGAACAAAAACGGAAATATATAAATGCACACATCAATCGACATGGTGACAGCTGTTAAGGTGGATCCTCATTTTTGACGACCTTATTCAATCAAATTATGCCAACCTTACTGGGTTCGGTGCCGTTGTCGAGGTAATGAGGTATTTTGACATGATATTGGGGCAGAAAAGACACGAGTTCCTCGACACCAGAACGAATAAGAAGTGTCTGTAAACTCTGAAAACCCCAGTGAATACGTTATTTCATGATGGAGTTTCTATTCTCCAAAACAACTTTGGGTAAGCATTGGATAGATCCCATAGACATGGGAAAGGGAGACATGTAGTGTTATTCCCATTATTTATAAAAAAGATTATTATTATGCTTTATCACTGGAATCTGAATTGAAGAATATGAATTAATAACATATATCAGACAGCTGTGAAATCAAAAGGCATTTTACAAGCCTAAATAGAAAACAAAAGAAGCGACATTATCCACACATTCAAATTCATGCACTTTCACTTCAAATGTGACAAATACATTGAGAAAATGATATAGTTCATGAAAACAGACGAGGAACCCGCATTGTGCATGGCTTGTCTCTTCCTGCGTCTGTCAGTCGTTTCCTTAGACATTTTATTGTCTTCAGGGCACGATTCAGCTTTGGGATACCATCCGTCAAAATTCATCAAAATGAAATCTACGAAATAAAAGGTAAAAGCAAAATAATTGAATTCAGATACCACAACTAGATACCTTGATGATAGACCGAAGCAACAGAGGCATACATCGTGCAGAACTTGGGATACGTGCGGGATAAAGAGCAAAATGTCAACACAGACGTGGAAACAAAGTGCAGCATCAACAACCAAAATGGCGTCGTTTGTGTGTGAAGGTCTCCATGGAGATCCGTCTCAGCGACCGTCGCCTCTCGTCCCTTTCCGTAAACTGGGTAGCAGTTACCTGAATGTTTACACTAGTCCGAGGACTCTGTTGTGCAACCGCAAGCGAGGGGCAAGGGTGCCACCTTAGTGTTAATATGTTTACGGTTACAAATGATGCATTCTGAAGCAGTAAACTGAAAAGAATTATATGGTTGGACGGTGGAAAGAGTATTTTCGTGCTGCCTGATTTCAACATGGCTATCGCAGCTACCTTAAGATACAATCATCTTGTATAACTCACATAGAAATTCTGTGTATATCTGAAATAACAACAACCGTAGTATTACGCCCAACAAGGGGCAATTATCATGAAAATATACATATTCCGTCGGGAAAGAGGGACAGTAAATCAGTATTAGATTCCTGGCCTACGTGTGATGGTGATAACACAAGGGGAGACCACTCCCATTGTATTGCTTTCTTACATAAACTAGAATTGTTCCATTCATGTCACTCTAGTGGTTACTAAACAAAAACGTGCGCCCATTTCACACAGTATGCACCAAGTTGAAAAGCATGGAGCAAGTTGCTTAACTCCGTTAAAAAGGAATTTCAGACACCTCAACTCATTTTAGATCATGAGCAGTAACAATGTTAATTGTCTGACTTAAATATTACTGAGACAATTCTCTTTGAGAGGAGGAACGAAGTCTGTTCCTATACTCCCAACTTCAACAACAAAGGAATTAAGCCCCTACTCCGCTGGGATGAAAGAATAAATAAATATTTGCGACATATCACAAGTCTTGTGTTGTCTGATCCCTGTTGGGGTGTTAAACGCCATACACGTCTATGTGGCCTAGTCCCTAGTAGTTATCAGGCAATTAATTAAGACAAAAATATTTACCATGGGAATAATTTATGGGAATGTCAAGAAGTCTTATTCGGTTGGGGGAGGATGGGGTCGAATGAAACTTGACAGTCTTATTTAAACGGTTAAACAAGTTGGCAATTTCAACGCCTTTTGTCCAGGACACAGTTATTGGTGTGCTTCTTTGAAGCATCCTTCGAATGGCTATGGCTTTTACAAAACGTCCAGTCGTTAAAGGCGCCGCTCTACAGAGTCGTCTCTTGGCCAAAATCTAGGATTGTGAGTTCGAATCCCGGCTCGTCCTGATTAAGTGTTTTAGGTTTGTCTGCACCACGCCCTTGCTGGTCAAGACACCAACGTGATTAAAGACCTGCATCTTTTGGGTCTTCTTTGCATAGTACGTTGACAAGCCGTAAAATAACTGAAATACTGTTCGAATCGACGTTAAAACCAACTCACTCACTCACGCGTATAATCTAACGCAAACTGTTTTGAATTCCATTATTTATTCTTTATTTTTAATCCACACTTTTGTTGAATTTGCCATTACAGTCAAGGTCACTACTTTTGAAATCGACATTGAAACTATTAACCCAGGTAAACTGAGATTATATGTTCACAGATTAACCAAGTTTGTTGTTTATTTGCGGCTGAGTGTAGTGATGTTGTATAACATGAGCTCAGATTAATTCAAATATGCACTCGACGGCCTATCGTCGGAATAATTGAATTTATAGATACTTTAACAATGACTAAGTCAATAGAACCCGTTCCACGTGACGGCATGACTGACGCAAAACCACGCTCACCCACGTCAGTATTCGCGTGCCTTTCCACGTAGTCAAAGATAGAATGGACACAAAAACGGAAATAGAAACATATTGATGTCAGGACTGATTCTGATAACGTTACCTACTTGAGTCATTCATGTATATGTTACAGGAATATGTAAAACCAGGGATTTCATGTAATCCCTAAAAGAGTCAGTGATTTCGTGAAATCTCTGTGATCCTCAGGGATTTCATGTATTCACTGAAAATTTCAAGGGCTATCTATATCGAGGGAACAATGTGACTACACATGAATAAACAAATGCTAGAATGTATTAACGTGAGTCATACCAGATTCTCCCCACGGACAAGAAGGATATGGGTTGGACTTGCACGTAAGTCTTTAACGTAATAATTAAGAGTTTAAATGATCATTTCTATAAAAAATATAAATATCAGACTGGGGTCCTGTATTGACCGCTTATCTAGATTTGCCTCTTTAAAGGATAGAATTACCATTACGTAACACTCAGTACAGCCATGGAGAAAGGCTAGATATGGGTTTACAATGGCTAACAGTTAAGCATAGCAGAGTTATGCAAGTCCCACAAGTGCTCCATGGGGGATACATCTGGCGACTGAACTGGCCAATGAATAACTTGGATGTGTTGCTGGGCCAGATACTGCATGGAAAGTCTTGTTGTGTGTGCCCGTGCGTTGTCCTGTTGAAAAGTATGGACATCTTGGTGGTGATTGAAGACAGATACGATGTGATTCTGAAGAATCTGCTCACGGTAATAAAGGGCATTAACTCTCCCTTGACAGACATGAAGGCAGTCCTGTGATTGTAATTTATTCCACCCAAGACCATGACACTCCCACCACCTAAAGGTCTGTCTGAACCATGGGCATCTGTCTGACTTCATGTTAGTTATATCCATTGATCATTGTCAAGCTGAAATCCATCTTGATGAAAATATCGACAATTTTAGACTGGTGCGTTTTCAATGATGTTCAGTATATAAACAGTCATTTTTGCAGTGTAAGTGGTGCTTAATTAATGCTTATGTCTGTGATGTCTGTGTTGTCTAGTCCAGATGTAGGTTAACACCGGTACAGTCATGTATAGATCAATACAAAACTTACTGAGTTGACATTTTCAAAAGTTCTCCCTCGGAGACGCCTAA